GGGTCCGCTTGCGCCAACCCTAAATCCGGTGGTGGCAGGGTCAGCGCAAACAAATCAAGCGCGCCGCCGCAGCATCGAGGTGCGAGATCGCGGTGAAATCTGCCGATCGTCGAATGAAAATTGCCTTAGGGAAACTCGGGGTGCAAGGAGTGGGAAACTGGAACCCACATATGCACTGGGCGCGTCACTGAGTGGTGCTTTGGGCGGGTCTACGGAGCAGCGGCATCGACGTCAGCACTCCGCGAGCAGCAGCAGCAGCAGGGCATTTCCGTCCGCTTTAGAGCATGGCTCATCGCCTACTGTAACATTTGTTTCTCCTTTTCAAAGGCATATAGCGTCAGTGGCTGAAGCTGAGAGGTTGGATCAGATTGCCTCAACTTGAGGAGCAGAGAAGACATGATACTGGTGGATTGCCAGGGGTGGTGCGGCAGTTTGACTACGGTAGTATAGTAATGCAAGCACCCGCATCTCCAAATTACCCTGTCAGTGTGCTGCTGCAAAGGGTCTCAAATACGGTAGTGTCCGTGCATTGCTCGGGCGAACAGAACCGTTGCTGCTGTGTGTTAAACTGAACAGAGCAATTCAAGCACCCTCTCTCCATGTCACCCTGCTTTCAAACTTGAAAGGTCCACGTGCTGTGGTGGGTGGAAGGTTGAGGTGCTGTGGGGAGGTGGGGATACTGAAAACCAGTTCATCCCTCACACTCTTGGAAGGTTGAGATGCTGGGCCTTCACGAGTCTATGATGTTCAGGTCTGTGTAGCATGGTGTGTACTAGTTATTGTTTAGTATGAGGAAGTAGGATGTACGGTAGGGGTTCCAAACCTAAGACCCAGTATTGGAGTGTCCTTTTGGTAGACCACCCAGTCTCCCTTCGGTATGTTGCTTTGTTTCCCTATACCTTACACGTGATCACTATTTTCTGAGGAACAGATGGCATTTTTGCATAGAGGGAAAGGTGATACCAGTAGTACCATTTTCAGCTGGTGTAACCATGTAGCCCAGTGTTTTTGAAAGTGTAAGCTTCACTGCACAGGTCTTGTGAATAAACCCGATGAACTCTACCCCCTTGCATCACGGACCACGTCATGCTGCCTCAACTGTTAGTTCACTTTCGCGCCAAATATGCATTTCCCCACCTCACTCCTCACTCCCTCGTTACAAACACTTCTGGGCAGTTCTCATGTTTCTCGCAAAATCGCTTAGAAGAACTTAGGAGCTGGTGTTCTCGCTCATCGACGTAGCCCTAATACTGATTGTTCAGCAACATTTGTTTCGACGAAGTTTGCGGATGTTTAGCTCATACAGAGCTCAATCGAAAACAGCACAGAATAGTGGAGAATCAGTGAATGCGATCTTGCGACTTGACGGCTATCTCAACAGTAGATATTTTAGTATTTTCCTGCCCGGGACAGCATGTCATCAAGTCGTCAATGGGTCGTCAGGCTTGACGACCCATTTCCGCGGGGATATTCCCAACGGACAGCCACAAAAACTGGGTACTGTAGTGGCCACAACATAAAATTAGTCACGGAGTGCGCAGTCTGTTGTACATTCTTTTTCTTGATCACCTGCAAACGAAATTCGGCAACATATTTTCATCGGGGTTATTTAGCTGTGGATAAATGGATTGTTTCCGCGTTACAGTTCAGTGCATTTCTATAATCTCCTATCTTATTGGCGAAGCGGAGGACAATGCTGCCATTGCCTAGACTTCCAGCCGTCCCCTCACCTACAATTCTGAGTTCGCTTGTCTCTTTCTACTCAAACCAGGGAGTGGCGTGCAGGCCTGTAGTTTGGTTTTGTCCCCCCGGACAAATCAGGGGGGGCGGCATGTACGACCCTGTATTTAGCAGGGTCGGGGCGAGTTTCGGCCCTTTAGGCTTCAGGGCTGGAAACATTTCCTCCCTTTAAATCAGGTTTGTTGCGGAAAAATCCGCAGCCTCAGGAGGTGTCCCCTCCCTCGATCGATCGCAAGATCGCTGTCGAAACCAATCGGGCACACCGATCGCAGGGTCGGGGTAAAGATTGGTAGGAGGTGACAGCAGCTTTACGATCGCGGATCGATTTCGAGCCCATGGTGACAGGATCGATATTTTTAGGGGGAAAATCCCATCGATCGTCATAAAGCCCAGATCGGTGTGGGCACAATAGCACATTGATGGTCATCGAGGGCAGGTGACCAGATCGTTGGCCCCATTTTACTGTATATTCGTGAATTCTCACGAAGACCGGCTACTTAGTAAACTGCGAAGCTACAGTTAATCTGTAGCTCCCTCGATCGATCGAAGGCAGGATAGATCGAGGGAGGGGACGGCCCTCAATCAACTTCAAGCTACATCACACTATGCAAGTACTACAACAAGCAAACACTTAGTGAGCGTAATTTCACTACGCACGCTTAGCAGGCTTCCCGCCCTTAACAGCATTGAAGAATCTCGGGCACCTCTACCCACTCACCAGGGAGCGAAGTTGTGATCGGCGCAAACACAAATTCTAGGCTGAGTTAAAAATTTGGCCCAACCACGCAACTTTAAATTTGCCAGTTGGATGCAACCAGGTTGGAAACAGGGGGGGAGGGGGGAGTGGAGGAGTTGGAGGGGGGAGGGGTGGGGGCTCGAAATATTTTGTTCCAGGGCTCGCCTAAAAACTACCCTTTAGATACCAGGCCTAAGCCCAAAATCAGCCCTGTAAGGAATCAGGGCCAGATGTCTTCTCTTCAAACCGAACTCCTCTCTCCTCCCGTCCCGAGTCCCGAGTCCCGAGCCCCGACTCTCGCCGCAATCCCATATCCATCCTGCCCGAATCTCTGGTCTGTAATTTCGTCTCGATGTTCGGTTGGATTGGATGCGTTGCACTCCCTCACTCATAACTTGCGTTGCGTGCCCTCTTTCACTCGTTGCGTACCCCTGCTATCGAACAGGGCCTTCAAGATGACGAGACAACCATCCAACGGAAATTCTTCAGCATTGACGAGGACCATGGTGGCAACTAGAGACCTGTGTTCTGACCGCGTGTGTCGCGAATCTAACCAGACTTCCGTACCTCCAACGTTCAAAATATCAGCAGCCATCTTGTGAAGAATATGTAAATCTACTGATATCCAATTCCCAACTCGAAAGTTGAACATTGTGAGCGAGTCCTCAATAGGAACGTTCGAACATCTCCTCACGAGTCTTCGCATGCTCCCAGCAGCGACAGTTTCTAGAGACTCTACTAGCCTTCCACCAGTTGATCGTACCAAGAGTGAGATGTCGTAAGATTAGTAGAATGTCAAAGACTACATCTTACGTGTGTTCTCCGGGTTTCGCGGAGTATTCTTTCACGACGACCGGCCTTAGCGAATCTTCCCCGAGATCCCGCAGAACGGAGAGCCGCCGCGAACGCCAACAGAGGCGGTTCGAGGAGCGCCTCGCGATCTTCCACGCCCTCGCGACGTGCGCTGACGCACCCGCCGAAGCGGCTCCCGACGAAGCTTCTCCTTCCAAAGAAGATTTGCACAAGCCAGAATCGCGCTCATCTGGTCCGTCGATTCCGTTAGACTCGTACTCGTTTGAGTCGCACCGTTTAGGCGAATATCCGTTAAGCTCGTCCCTGCTCCAACACCACCCAAGGAATGGCGTCGCTAGCAGATTCGAGTCCGCGACCTGCGGCCGCAGCGGGCGGCGCGAGCTGTACGATCTCGGACACGTGGCCGTTGCGCTACGAGACCCGGCGAATGCGGGAGAATCGAGTGAATGCCGCGTCGGTACGACAGCGGCAATGGCGCTCGCGTCACCGTCGGCGGAAAGGCCTTTGGCGGCATCCGGCGGAGCGGGAGCGCCGATCCCCGCGGAAGATCTGCAGTGGGCGTGGCGGCTGCTAGTGGTAGGGGGACACGCGCCGGCATTTGACTCGGATTCCGCCCGCACGCCCAACGTGCAATCCCTGCCCCGCCCCCGCGGCTCCGGAGAACGCGGAAATGCGGAAACTCAGCGGTGCGTGGCGGCGGCAGAAAGAAGCGGGAATGCAGGTGAACGGTGTGGCGGGCTGCAGGGGTTGGCGGAGAAGAAAGCGGTAGAGCGGGGCGGGGGAATCGAGGGCGGCGCGGGAGCGGGGAGGAAAGTTGTCGGTTTGCGCCAAGTTGGCGGAAGCCGCACGTGGGCCGTTCCGTCCTCCCGCGGAGATGAGCTGCAGGCGGTGACGGCGGCGCAGCGGCGGCAGCGGGTAAGGCGCAGCCAATGGCTTCTGCGCTGGCTGCAGCAGCAGCAGGAGCAGCAACAGCTGCACCAACACAAGCAGCACCAACACCAGCAGCGGCAGCAGCAGCAGCAGCTTCGGCCGTCATGCGGGTCCTTCGAAGAGGAACCGCCCGCCTTCCCCTTGTCGGACGCGGAACTGCGCGGTGACGGCGCCGGCGATCGCGGTGACGCGGGGCGCGCGGGGGTCTCTGCGTGCCTGGGGCGCTTGTCCTTGAGCTCCGCGTCGTCCGCGGAGCGGAGACCTTTCCGCCAGCTCTCCCCCTTCGAAGCCACGTCACGCGGCTGCGCGCCTTTGGCGGAGAGGTGGGAGCGGGAGCAGGGGGACGAAGCGCGACGGATTGCGGCGCCGGGTGATGCGGACGGGAGCGCAGATGCGGATGCAGATGCGGATGCGCGGAGGAGAGTGGAAGATTGGTTCCGCGGGTACGCGGATGCCAACATCTCCGCGGGAGCAGATGTTGCGGACGCGTCCGCGCAACGAACTGATCGCGGAGACTGCGCCGATTCCGTGGCGGAAATCGCCGCTTGTGCTAATCCCCGCCCGGTTCCGCGGAAGCATTTCCCCAGTCCGCTGGGGCGCGCGTGGAGCGCACGCGAGGCGGGGGAGCGCGTCCTGCTGCGCCCTGCTCGCGGGTGTCACGCGCATTGCGACGCGGCGGAGTGGGGGGGACAAACGGTCGGTGGCTGCTGCAAAAAGACAGGACCAGCACCCGTCCCGCGTTATCATCACAACGGTGGTTCGTTCGAGGACGGTGGTGCATATGTCCCTCGTTATAATCGCGGTCACGGCACTCAGAGGTCCGTCCAGCGGTCGCGATCTCTCCAGGAGAGGTGCGGAGGCGTGGCGTCACGACACGATTTCCCAGGGTGGCAAGACGGAGTTTTCCCGAAAAGAGGGGCAAGTTGTGGGTTGCCCGAAAACCTAGGTGGCGGTGTAGTTACCCCTGAGGCGGGGTACACCCAGGCGGCGGGGGAAGGAGGAGGAGGAGGAGGAGGAGGAGGAGGAGGAGGAGGAGGAGGAGGAGGAGGAGGAGGAGGAGGAGGAGGAGGGAGCATTTTCGGAGAGTTGACTTCGGGGGACGCACGGAGTTCCCAAGGTTTTGGCACGGGATCGCAAGCGCCTCAGAAATTGGATCCTGGCCCGGATGTGAAACCGAAAACGCCATCGCATCGACATGGCAGCCTGTCATTTTCCGAATGGGTCGGGGCAAAATGCAGCGCTTCAGCCAATGGGTTGAGGACACGTGGCAGGGGCCATCAGGTGGGTGGATCTGCTGGTTCTGAGGCTGACGTGGCACCTGCTGCGGTTATATTTGCGGCAACAACAGATGTGGCGAGCGTTGCAGCAGGTGGCGCTACAAATGTGGCTACACCCATGGAGATAATTCCATCCAACCATGTGGTTGTAACTGTTGATTCTTCAGATGTAACGACTGCTCCCGCTGCTCCAGATGTAACGGCTGCTCCCGACGATACAGATGTAACAGTTGCTTCCACCACGGCACCCACAACGCCCGCTGCCGATGCTGGACATGTAACAGCTGCTCCCACCACTACAGACATACAGGTTGCCGTCGGCACTACAGATGTAGCGGCTGCTGCTTCTTCTGACACTACACACGCAAGAGCTGCATTCAATAAAGGCAGCACTGCCACTGGGGCTTCAGATGTACAGACAGCAAGGCGAGACGTAACCGAAGATGTAACCGAAGACGTAACCGCTGTGTGCAGGCAGCTGAGCAGTGCTGATTGTTCTTCTGAGGCTTGCCAGCCTATGTGCGGGGAGATTGTTTTTGCCGAGCCTAGTTCTGAGTCAGCTCAGGAGTCTCCCGAGGCTTGCCGACCATTTTTCGAGGGGAATATTTCTGTGGAGCCTCGAGTCCTGAAATCTGGTGAAGATAAGGGAAAATCCTGTGAGGTTCCTGAGGGATTGAGGCATGGTGAAGAGCAGGGAAAATCCTGTGAGGTGCCAGAAGGATTGAGGCATGGTGAAGAGAAGGGGAAACCCTGTGAGGTTCCTGAGGGATTGAGACATGTTGAAGAGCAGGGGAAGGACCATCACTCCCGATGCCCCTCCTTCTCCCTCTGGGTGTCCCCCACCCCCCGCCTCCCCTCTCCATCCTCTCCCCTCTCCTCCCCCCTCTTCACGCCCTCTAATGTTTTCTCCTGCCCCACTGTGTTCACTCCACTCACCACTCCTCCCTCCCACCCACTCGCCTCATCAACCCGTCCTCTCACCAACAACCCTGTTTTGGCTCTGAAGGGCACCTCAATGGCACCTGAAGGCCACCTGAAGGCCACCTGAGAGCCACCAGAGCCTTGAAGCTTCCTTTCATCTTGAAGTAGAGGTTGTTTTGCTATTATTTAATTTGTTGTTTTGACGTTCATGTCATGGAAGTGTGCTAATCCCTCTTCCGAGTGCTGTACAATGGCATCCAGAATATACAGATCGGTTTGTTACAAATGACTTCAAGAATATTTGTGCGTTACAGAGCAAAAAGCCATTGCAAGAGAACCTATGCTCCTGCCTGCTTGTGGTAGGTAGGCGACCCCAACAGACCCACTACTCACGAGTCACTCACGAGCACTCCGCCAGCCGGCACCAGGCAAAGCAGCAAGCACCGACACCAGCACTGCAAGGTTCACCACATCAGGCGGCTCTAGCACCCTCCCTGACCCCCATGCCATCCCTGCTGCCTGCCCCGTGCTACTGTTGGTAGCGGTGGTACCGGTACCATCACCGGTACCGGTGATGCTGGTGCTGCCGCTGCTGTGACAGTTACACGAACAATTGCAGTTGCCGTTGCTGGTTTTGATATCGTCACTACAGCTGCTCTCATCCCTGTTTGACAACCAGGGAGAGTCCGAAGTGCTCTTGCTGCGGCCAGCGAGTCGCTTAGCTAAGTGCTTCTTAAGTGTCGCAGGCTCCTCCTGCTCCCAGGGCAGAGTGAGAATCGGTGGATGGGGCAGCGCTGGAGACACAGGGCTGTGCATTGCAACGTTATAAGCAGGGCTAAGAATAGCACCGTTATCAGCAGCACTAGGAGCAGCTTCACTATAAGCTGCTTCAGTTGCACCAGCGGCAGGAGCAGCAGCAGAAGCAGCACCAGAAGCATCAGCCGCAGCAGCTGCTGCTACTGTAGTGGCTGCATCAGATGCAGAAAACACAGGAGACACAGGAGGGGAAGCAGGGTGGGGGAGAGGAGCAGGGAGGGAGGCCTTGGCAGCAGCAAGAGCAGCAGCAGCGGAGGCGGAGTGAGCAGCCACTTGTGCGGCCGCTGCTGTCGCCGCCGCTCTTGGGTGTGTGTAAATCGCATCGGTCTCCTCGTCCCCATGTATAATCAACAGTGCTGGTGTTGGTGGTGCTGATGCTGATGCTGATGTTGCTGCTGCTGCTGCTGCTGCTGCTGCTGCCGCTGCCCTTGGGTGCGTGTAAATCGCATCCGTCTCCTCGTCCCCATGTATAATCAACACGTCTGGCCTGTGCTGCTGCTGTTGCCGCTGCTGCGACTGCTGCTGTATCTGTTGTTTCACCTGAAACATCTGCGGTATCACCTGAGGCTGCGCCGGAGCCTGCCGCTGCTGCTGGTGGCCTGGGTGCCAGTCCAGAGTCTGGCTTCTCCTGAGCGCCCTCCCACTCATGCTTCTCACTGCAACGCCTCCTCTGCTCACTCCACTCCCTCTCCCCCCAACACTCCCTGTCGTTCCTGTGCTCTCTCCATCCTCCCTGCATTCCCTGTTCTCCGTGCTCTCAATTGCGTCCTTGCTCCCCCTGCTCTCCCTCCTCCCGTTGCTTTCGGGTTTAAAGGCATGTGAGCTGCTCTCGGCGCTGCTCTGCGTTCGCCAGAGAGGGCTCCTTCCCCCAGACGTTGCTTTCCCAGCAAACACCATCTGCTCAGGTGCTGCCATTTCAACTGCACCAGTGGCAGCACCAGCAGCAGCACCAGCAGCGGCAGTGGGGGTGGTGGCAACACCAGCGGTGGAGGCAGCAGCCGCAGCAGCAGAAGCGGCGGAGGCGGCAGAAGGTTTGGCAGTTTCCGCAGCGATACAGGCGAGGTAGCGGGGAGGAGGGGAGAAGGGGCGGGCACAGCGCGACAGGGGTCGGGCGTGGTGGGTGGTGGTGGTGATGGGTGCAGAGGGGTGGAGAGGGTTAGAGGCGTAAGAGGAGGTTGAGGAGGAGGAGAAGGAGCAAGCAAAGGAAGGAGCGGAAGAGAGTGAGGATGCTGATGAGGCTGGTGATGGTGGTGATGGGGAAGTGGGAGTCTGGCAGTATGGAGGAGTGTGGGAGAATGGAGGAGTGTGAGACCATGGAGGATTGATGGGGGAGCGAGGGAAGAAGACTGGGGAGGATGAAGGGCGGGCAGTGGCACCAGCAGTGCTGCTGCTGCGATTCAGTCCCACTGTTGCATTCTTATCACCACATGCCAAACCGTCTCGCGCAGAACCACCCCGCGCCGAACCACCGAGTGCCGAACCACTAAGTGCCGAACCATCCCTTGCCGAACCATTTCGAGCCGAACCCTGTGCGAGGAAAATAGAGCCCTCCTTACAGTCACCGGCACTCATATCAGCACCATGCGTATATAGGTCCCAATCAGGGGCGCTTGGCGATAGGGAAGAGGAGGAGAAGGAGGGAGGCGGGGAGGGAGAGAAAGAGAAGGAGGAGAGGGAGGCAATGGGGGCGGATGCCTGGCGTCTCAGTGACTGGCCTGCAGAGGGGGCTGATGCTCGGTTGCTCTCTCGGCCCGCCCTCTTGCTCCCAGGGGCAATTTTCTTGCCGTCTGCAGCTGCTCTGAATCCTCTCATGTGAACGGGTGATGGGGAGAGTGGCGGCTTCGTGGCAGAAGCAGGACGGGATGGTGGTGGTGGTGCCGCTGCTGCTGCCGGTACTGCCACTGGTGCTGCTGCTGCCGCTGCTGCTGCTGCTGCCACTGGTGGTGGTGGTGGTGCTGCTGCTGCTGCTGGCGCTGCTGCTGTTAGCTGTGATGCTGGTGGTGATGGTGCTGCCACTGCTGCTGCTGGTACATCTGCTGGTCCTGCATGAGATGTCAGCTGAGACTGCTCCTGGAGATTCTCCTGGGGATTCACCTGAGAAAGCACCTGAGGGACAGCCTGAAGGGTGTCAGACTTCCCTGAAGTCCGCCTGAGAGGAGATGGCTTGTGCCAGTCGGCAAGGGCAGGGGACGTGAGAGGGCGGGATGGGAAGGGACGAGGAGAGAGAGGAGAGCGAGGAGAGCGAGGAGAGGAGGGAGTGTGAGGAGTACGGGACATGCTTGGACGACGGGAGGGGGAGAAAGGAGCGGATGAGGAAGGAGAGGGGGGAGGCAAGGGAGGAAGGGAGGAGGGAGAGGGAGAGGAAGGGGAAGGGAAGGACGAGAGGGAGGCAGTGGGAACGGATTTCTGCTTGCGGAGGAAGCGAGCTTGGGGCTTCGGAGTGGTGGGTGGCAGGCCAGAGGGGGGCTTGGGAGGGGCTTGTAACGAAGGGGCCTGTGAGGAAGGGGATTGTGGTGCAGTGGCCTGTAACGAATATGCTTTCAACATAGGCTGGTTAGGGTGGTTTGGGCAGTGGTGGTTAGGTGAAGGGGAGGAGGGAGGACTGGAGGGGCACGCAGGAGGTATGGGGGGAGGGGAGGGGGAAGAGTGGGGGAAAGGAACAGGGGCAGCGAGAGGGGAAGGGGATGGGTAGAGGTCTTTCAAATATGAGGGAGATTGGGACGTGAGGTGCTGGTTTTGATGATCCTGATGGTGGATTGATGAGTGGCTGTGGGGATGGGGATGCATGGAGGAGGGGCGCTGTGAGGCGTCTTGAGTGGATGAGTGTGCTGCGGAGTGCCGTGAGGAGTGCCGTAAGGGGAGCACCTCGGTCTTGGATCGCTGGAGCGGTGGAGGGAAGGAGAATGGGGAGGATGGGGAGGAGGAGGCGGACGGGGAGGAGGAGGAGGAGGGGAAGGGGCGGAGATTGGGCAAGGCGGAGGGGTGGAAGCTAGGGGAGGGGGAGGCGGAAAGGGGAGATGGGTGGGGAGGGGGTTTGGAGGCGGATGGAGAGAAAGAAGGGGAGAACGACGGGGAGAAGGAGGGGGAGGAGGAAGACGAGGGGGAGGAGGAAGAAGGGGAGGAGAGACCAGTGAGTTTAAGCTTCATTGCCCGGGAGGGGGGTGCTGAGTTTTTTGCCTTCATCCCTAAGCCGTCCACGTCATCTGCTGCACAGCCACTACATGACACGTGTCCTTTCATGATTGGCTCGCCCTTACAACCAGATTTTCTGGGCTGGATTAACATAGTCCCATCTGCTACCTCCGTCTCTCCCTCCTCTCTCTCACTTCCCTCTCCTCTCTCACTCCCCTCCTCTCCCTCACTCCCTTCTCCCTCCATCCCCCCCTCATCTGAACACCCTTCTTCCCCTGCCAGGAACCGAAAGCTAGCCTCAACCATATCGCTCCCCCTGCTGATCGCAGCACCATCCCTGCTCGCCCTCCATCCCCCTTCCGCCACTCCCCTTTTCTCCCCCTCTTCCTCCTCCTCCGCCTCCCCTGCCTTCTCTTCCTCCCCCTCCCCCGCCTCCTCCGTCTCCCCAAACTCCCCCCTCCCCATTTCCTCCCCCCGGTCCAGCGCATCTCTCCCCCCAATCCCCTCCTGCGCCCCCTTCCCTTTCCCCCTCACACCAGCTTCCCCAGATCCACCTTCCCGTAATTCACTTTCCCCCCTGGTACGTTCCCCCCTCGCGCGGGCGGTTTCAGTCCTTCCGACACCTGCCAATTTTCCTGCGCGTGCAAATTCCCCCCTTCCCCTCCCTCTCCGCCCCTCCCCAAATCCCCCCTCGCTCTTTTTTCCTGCCGCTTCCCTCTCCTCGTCCCATTTCTCTCCCTTTGCGAACGCGTTACAAATCACATCGCTAGAAGCCGCGTCCGTTTCGCCAAAAGACACCTCACTCTGCTCCCCGCAATCTTTGTTTTCAAGAACCCCAGTATTATCCACACTACCCTCGATTTTCAGTCGAGTAAAACTGAAAACACTTCCCTCGTCGCTGCTGCCCCTGCTGCTGCTCCTACTGAACTGGATCTTTCTGCCGCTATCGCCAGATCCGGCGCAGATATCGGGAATATTATTACCGAGGATGCTGCAATCGCCACCACTCGCCGACCGGCTCTCGCGACCGGCGACGTGAGTCGAGTCGCTGCTACTGCTATTACTGGCACTTCGGCTTCTGTCACATCTGCTGCCGTCGCTGCGTCTACTATCACTCCCGACGCCGTCGCTTCGGCTCGTGTTGCTCCGGCTGCTGGTAACCCCGTCACGCCTGCTTCGTGAATCGTAATTTCGCGAGCCATCGCTGTCATCACCGTTGCTCTCACTTCTCGTGCTGTCACTTCTCGCATGGCCACTTCTCCTGCTATTGATTCTAGAATTTTCACTCCTACTGCTGCCGCTCCTCGTAGTATCACTCCTTGTACTATCACTTCTCGTACCATCACTTCTCGTACCATCACTCCTCGTGCTATCACTCCTCGTGCTATCACTTCTCGTGCTGTCACTCCGCAGACTACCTTGCCGCTCGCTGCTGAGGCTGTTTCTCCTGCTGCTGCCGCCTACGCTTCTGAATTTAACGAGACTGTTACTAGCGAGACTGTTACGTCCAGCAGTTCTCATGTCAGACGAAGATGACGTGGGAGAGGAGACGGTTGACGTGGACGGTGACGTGGAGGAGGGGGAGGTCGGGGTCGAATCGTCGTTACTATTCGACATAGAGAAACGCATCACAACGTAGTTTCCGGAAGGAGGTCGGATGAGAGGAACCGGAGCGGCGGCGGCGGCGGCAGCGGAGGAGGAGGAGGTTGAAGTGAAGGTAACGGTTGATGTGGCGTTAATAACGGGAGCGCTGGTAACGGGATTGCTCGAAGCGGGAGTTGTAACGCGCTGGCTATCGGGACTCGGCCTAACCTCGGATCTGGCCGGACACGTGGCAAGCCCATCAGTACGACACGCGGCAACCGCTTCAGCGCCGCGACACGGTTCGACGTTACGGTCCGACGGCGCGGTGCGACTGCTCGGGGATGACGTGGCATCGTCGACGGCTTCTCCAGGCGATTTCGCAGATGCGGGCGAGTCGCCATCGTCGCCCATCCAGTCAGCGTCGGTCAACCCGAGGTCGTTAAAGTCAAACGAGTCCGTCGTCGTCTGCATGCGGCCGCGGCTCGGCCAGCACGACGGATGCTGCTGCTGAAACGCGGCCGCGCGGCTCAGCGCGGAGAGCTGCGCACGAGATGGCGCGAACGCCCCGGAAGCACCGCGACTCAGCGCGCCCGATGATGCGCCGCGGGTCAGCCCACCGGATGACGAGCCGCGGGTTGGCGTGAGCGAGATGGCGCGAGTTAGCGCGGAGAAAGGCCGGGAGGTTGCGGAGGGGGAAGAAGGGGAAAGGGGGGAAGGGGGAACCGGGGGAGAAGGGGAGACTGGCGAATTTGGATTGGGCGGCCCTTTGCTGCCAGTACCGCCGGTGCGGCCCGTACGGCTGTCCATCCGCGCCTCGGCAGCATCCTTACTCGTGTCACTGCCCTTCGAGTCGCCGTCAGCGGCAATCGCGGCGCGAGTCTCGCTCGTGGGGGAGTCGGAGGGGGACTCTCCAGCTTCGGATTGGGCGGTGGACAGATCCGGCAAACGACCGAACCTGGAACGATAACGTCCGGAGCTACGCGTGGATGACGGCGCATCTAGCGCCGCGACTTGCGCGGGTGGTATGGATTCCGAGCCTGACGTTGGACCCCTGTTTATCAAGCCGTTGGCCACTGTTCGCGGCTCGTCCGCGTCAGAACAGTCGCGCGACTCGTCGGAGATACTAGCTTGAAAGGACCCGTTACTCGAAGCATCCCGTTTCGTACTTAAAACCGCATCCCTTCGCGACGGAAGCGACGACGCGCGAGCGAGAGTGTTCCAGACGCGGCTACGCACGCTCGTCTTAAAGCCCAACATACTCCCGCTTCGACTGCCCCCGTCCCCGAGCTGCCCGCCGAACTGCCCGCTGGGCAGAAAATTAAGGCCCGCGGCGAGTCTCGCACGTCTACTGACATACTCTCCGTTTAAGTTAGTAACAGCCCTGTTCGTAAAACCACCGCTTTCAGCGCCATTGCTTCCAGTCCCGCTGTTTGCGCCCTTCGTGCTCATACCAGCGTCTGCCGCGCTGCCGTTGCCACCGGTTCTGCTGACCGTTCGTCTTTCTCTGGTGAATCCTTCCGTGTCGCTGGCCGCGCATCGTCGCACAGCAGGTCGCACGTCGCCACGGGCTCGTCGCCCGAGGCCAATGTCGTCACATGACTCGCCTCCGGCGCTGGGCGCGGAATCGGTCACTCCCGCACCTTTATTCCCACTGGCGGCCTTTGAAGCGTACCCCCTGGTTATTAGATTCCTTCCTAATGGCGACGACGCTGACATGGCAGGTGGCTCGTCGAGCCGCGCGGAGCTGCGGTAAATCCAGAGCTCGTCCATCGAGTCGATTGATGTCGCCATTCAGCTTAGTTCTCTACGATGCTGACGTGGTGCAAGCTATATACGAAGCCTGTGCGTCCTGTGTGACGTGGCACTTTAAGATCGTTCCTGAAAGCCGTCAGTCCAATTTCTACCTCGTTACATAAATCTAAAACAGCTGCTTCGCCGAATGTCGTACCGCCACCACCAAGACGATTTTTGTACGAAGGGAATGGTATTTCATAAGGCGAGTGCGTCCGTAGACATGGTTCGACCTAGGGTCTTGCTACTCACTGCCTTGTGGCCTAGTCTACATGCCTTGTTTTCTGTACCAGACAGAATGGGAAGAGCGAGGGAAGGGCTAAGTCTGTCAATTCAATGTTAATGCAGCAATAGTCTCACCTAGCCACAGTGATGCAGAGCGCTTGCTAACACACTGAGCAACTCTGGGCATTTGTCATTTCGGTTGTTACGGGCGGCGCCTGTATCTGAATTGTTTCCTTGGTGCGGTGCGGTGCGGTATGGTATGGTGTGTGGAGGAAGGATGGATCATGATAAACCATCGATGAATTGGGATGGGGAAGGGCATCCTATCCATTCATCCAACGCAGTCGTGGTGGATCCGAGTGGTGGAGATGGAATCGGCTCGGCTGCCCCACGGGCCTTTTGGGAAGTCCCTGCCCGAGTGATCCGGTCCGGGCATATGAAGGGATTGCACCTCCTGCCAATTGCAAGTGGTTGAAAAGGAGCAAGCAAGCAAGCAACTGCCGATGTGGTGGTGGTGTGGTGGTTGCCCGTTTCGATCAGTTTTTATATTTTCCTAGTTTCCCATCTAGTCGCCATTGCCTTGTGTTGTGGGGCATGAGTGCGATGCTGTACACAAAAACACAAAACAAGAAGGAACCCTTCTCCCAAACTGTACACTCGCATGTGCACTGTCCTCATGTGAATCGGTGCTAGTGGCTGAGAGGGTTTTCAAATGGGTTGGAATCGGCGGGTGGGTTGGTGCACTGCAGCAAAACCTATGGCGAAGAAGTGTGGAGCCGCGCGAGGTGCCTTCTAGCGTCAGGGTGAGACGAGTGTCGGCTGTTTATGCATCGCAACAACTGTCCAAGCGTTTCTTCCACTCCGTACAGGAAAGGAAGCCAAGGACCAGTTACGTAACGGCAAGCTAGAACCGCTGTAGTACTCGTTCGCTAAGAAACTACGATCCTGATCAGTGAATATAAGCAACATGAAAGATTACCACATTTAGGTACAAGTATACGTGATGTGCTAGGGTGAATTCTGATATGCAAAAAAAAAAAAAAAAAAAAAAAAGTGGCGTATGGCATTATGCACTGTATATATATTCCCAACAATCCGTTTCCGTATGGAACTGCTAAACAATCATTAATTAAATAGCAAAGCCGAAACTGTCAAAACATATGTGTCATATATTATCAGGCTATATAGGGACTAGCCTTAGGGGGTTCAACATTCACCTCGTCATTCTCACTTGTACCCCCCTTCCCCAACCTAATCGATGTTGGGCTGAGAAAAGCCCTTAAGAACTTTCAGGACTAAGATCAGGTGTTGACGTAGAGATGTAATAGCGGAAGCGTTTAATGAGGAATTGCTTGAACCACCTTGTGCTGGTGTGTGAGAACAAGATAAGTTGATAATAGCAAAGACATGCAAGCTCCTTTATATGATTACAAAGGAATATGGAGAGTTCTATTTTAACTGTTTTTGCTGTTGCGGTTCGATACAGTGCCGACTCGGGTAACTGCTCTGTAACGAGTCAGTTATGTGTCCTTGCTGTCGTACTGTACGTTTCGTCAGGTCAAAGGTCGGAGACCTTTGACCTTCGCGTAACCTCCGACGGTTGCCTTGGTTGACTCGAGCGCTTCTTCGCTGTAGCCAACTCCGTTTCGTGTCGAAGCTTCGATATGACAGAAGCGTTTTAAATCACTTGTTTCCAACACTCCCCTTCGCTTCTGGAGTATCACTGCTGATGACGTGTCCTTGTCCAGTCAGCAGCATGCAGTACTCGAACTTCTGTTTTCCGAGTTTCTTGGTCAAGTAATCAGCTGCCATCTCGGATGTGGGGCAGTAGGATAGCTCGAGTCTCCCCTTTTCGATTTCGTCTTTTACGAAGAAGTACCGAAGGGCGATATGCTTCGTTCGATTCGCGAACCCGTTTTTGTTCGCTATGCAAATGGCGGATTGGTTGTCGCAGAAGAGAGAGAAGTTGGATAACTGGGCCAATTTTGCTTCCTCCAATAGTTCGCGGAGATATAGCCCTTCCTTGGTGGCTGAGCAGAGTGCGATATATTCTGCCTCTGCTGACAAGAGAGCAATTAGCTCTTGCTTGTTCGACTGCCATGAGATAGGCCCGATAGGTTCGAGTCTGTAGACGTAGCCGGTTCGAGACCGTCTGTTGTCGGAGTTGTCAAACTTATATGCTATAGTCTATCTAGGCTGTAGTG